GGGGTTTTTGGGACCCCTGGACTACCAGACTAACAGAAGTAGAGCCACTTCATTGTTCCCGCTCCCCATCCCCCCTTTTCCTCGGTCCCAGCCTGAACAGCATTTTGCCTAAAGTCTTCTTAAAGGAACAGGGTGGCGAGATCAAGTTAAGGAAGTGAGCAGGAAATTAATCACAGGAAAAGGGTTTTCTGAAGAGGACATAATGGGGGAGTTGGTGTAGTAACATGTGTAGAATCAGAGCTTCTTCTTTTTATTTAGCTGTAGTGTAAAGTTGCATGGTCTCACAGCCAGTGGGGGACTTTAAGAGTCAGAATAAAATGTGTAACATTAGTGGAAACTGCTCTGTGTTAAAGTAGAAAATGGGTCAGTTGTGGCTAACATGGTAGATTGGTGTCCAAGGTGGAGAGGACACACTGTGGCCAGGTATCAGTTCAGACCCAAACAGTGTATTTACCTCTTAATAAGAGAATATTACAGCCACACATCTCTTTAAGCTGCTTGAGGAAGGTTTTAAATGACAACCTCTCAGCTCGTTTGGACACACAGAGCAAGAACCTGAAGCAGAAAAACACCATTGCGCCCTCACACACACACACAAAACAGGCTTTCCTTTCAAAATAAAAAAAGAAACCAGCACGCTTTTAACAAGACGCAGAAAACACACAGAGAGAGAGAGACAGGTCACATAATGAAATGTATGAGCTCTGACCTGCTCAGACTCTGAATCATATTCCTCATCGTCTCCGCTCAATGACAAGGCCATGGCTCCTCTCTCTCATCGTTCGTGAACCGCAGAGAAAACTAACATGGCTGAACAAGCCTCCAGCTCAGCTCATTTCCACCCCTCCTTCTCTCTCTCTCTCTCTCCCTCCCTCCTTCCCTTCGCATCACACCAACACGGGCAGCTGCTCATTACGCCGCGTTCACGAACCATGGGAGAACACGGCGCGCAGCAACTTCCTGCTTACTCAATTCAATGATTTTAATGTCGTTTGCAAAACTTGAAGGCGGATAACAGTGGGTGTGCGCGTATTTGACTTCTAAATAAAAGCTAATTGCGTTTAAAAGTAGAGTAAATGTAACTAATAATCGTCGCCGTACGTTGCAACTGTTATTAACGTGCGACGTGAATGCAGCATAACGGGAAGTGAAGATGAGCAGCGGAGACAAGAAGGTTCACTCCTACACACTTCCGTCTTCGCTTCTGCTTGTTATTGCGGGACGTGTGAGTCAGTAAGAGACGATACGGGTTAAATTATTCAAATGGTTAATTTGATTTATTCAACATCTTAATCCTCAAGGGCGTATTAGGTTAGTAATGGTCTTAAAATACCGCGACACGCCTCTGAATTAGGTCATTTAACGTTGAGTGTGTAATAGGTTTGTCACTAATGGTTATTCACATTTTCCTACATGTTGTCACCTGACGTAAATCCACCTGGGCAGGTGCCATACAACAGGTATCACCTACATTTCAGGTATTCACTGATGAGTCAGTGCATTTCATTGATGGCACAACCTGTGCTACCAGTTATTAAATAAAATGTGTCCAATACATTTATACACTATTTATGCTATTTAAACGTTTAGAGTTACCACACTCACACTGATAATCAACTTAAAGGAGAGAGACAGCACTTTAATCTCAAACTTATTGCTTCACTTTAGATCCAATGTGCTCCTGTACACAGCCAACACAACAAGAAATGTGTCACTGACTTACTCAGAACTCGGCTGTATTATATAATCACCATGTAATGTCATAATGAATCATTGAGCCACTATGTCTAAGCTTTGAAAAAAATTGGCATCATCCAGTGGCAGTATCAAGAATTATCTATTACAGACGGTTAAACACATACAAATATTTTTTTATAACAATTCAGTTGCATGACCAACATGTAAAGGAAGACTATAAAAGCTGCATTCAGACTGACCTACACAGACCAACTAAAAAAGAATTACTGCTGCACCAATGACATGACCGCTCACTGGTTTCCCACCAACACTGCCAATTGTGTTACACAGGGCTGGGCCAAAAGCATCGCAGCCAGGGACTGAACCCTGGTGTATGTGGTGGTGAATAAGCACCACCCAGGTGCCTTGTTTATACATTAAAAAGGTACAAATTTGCACCTAAAATGTTCTATAAAGCCGACAAATATGTACTTCTATACATCTTTATGTGCAGTGTTTCTGTTTCTGATTCTGTCTGAGATGTTTTGTGCTCCTCCGCCCTCAGGTGGTGGAGGACTGCTATGATGTGCTCACTTTACTTACTCTGCTGTAGCACCAGAAGCTGCTTTAATATCCAGAAACTTACGGTCTACAACCGAACTAAACTGTACAAATCACAGAGAGATGTAGAGTGCAGAGTGTGCATGTGTCTCTGCTACTGGTTTGTGAGATTAGGTTACGGTTACTTTACTTTTTGTTGTTGTCAGAAGTGTGAATTTACACAGGAAAACCACCTCAACTACCAGGTGTCGAAAAGAAAATGACTTGCTGCTTCTGTGTCCACACAGTCATTCTTCCTCTTCCTGTGCACCAGCACAGTAAAATAAGAAAACATACTCGGATCTTTTGTTATGTAAAAGTAGCAATACTGCAGTATAGAAATACCCTGCATTCAAAATCTTACTTAAGTGAAAGTACATGTAAGGATCAGAATATACTTTAAGTATTAAAAGTACCCATTATGCAGAATGGCCCATTTTTAAATACATATATTATATTACTAGATTATGAATAGTGATGCATTTATGTGTAAGCAGCAGTAATATTGCAGCCAGTAAAGGTGGATACTTTATATACTGCTGGTATCTTAACATTTAAATAATAAATCCTAATGTATTAGTTGATTTATATTTTTGCATTAATAATCTCAATCTACAAAGTAATGTGGGAAATAAAATTATTCAAGGTTACTTTATTGTTATTTAGGTTGTAAAATAAAGTTTACATTCCCTTTATGCTACTTTTTTACTTTACAAAATAAAAACTGATCAATGAGTCATAAAAATAAACAAAAAAATGCTAATTTGTGTGATGAATTGTTGAGGAATACTAAAGTAAAGTGCATCAAAATCAAAGTACAGTACTTGAATAAAAGTACTTACATCCCATCACTCTTACAATGAGTCTACTGTTGTGCAGAGACTATTAATATGAGTATTTAATTCATATCAGTGAATGTAAAAGGGAAAAATACCTCTTTCTAGGTGGTGGTGACACTTTTGATGTTTAAAATAATATAAATGACCATACTTGAGTTCGATTCATGCATATTTTTTGGGGTTTTGAGGGATTCAGAGGTTTTGTGTGAGCAGCAACCACTAAAAGCTGCACAATGTGTGTGTGAGTTGAACATATGACACATCCGTACAGGAACCGACTGCAGCTCCACGATAAAGGGGGTGTACACTGGCACCAGCAGGCGGACCGCCGCAACGCCTGTGCAAACCAGAGAGAGAGAGAGAGAGAGAGAGAGCATTGGATTGTGGGTATCTTGTGTTTCCTCATAGACAGTAAGTCAGCTGTTGTAGGAAAGTTTTGACATAGTTTCAGATCTGCTCCCAAGTGTTCGTTAGATGTCGCACCTCATCGGAACTACACTTCCTGCGTGCGCTTTCCATCCGTCTACTCCACCGAGGCCCATCCTGTGAATCCAAACCGCTTTTACGCACCGAACTTTCTATCTTCATACAACAACAACAACAACAACACAATAACCGGTTCCTTGGAGCAACCTTCGGAATGAGTTTGAACGAGCACTCCATGCAGGCTCTGTCATGGAGAAAGCTGTATTTGAGTCGAGCCAAACTAAAAGCCACAAGTCGCACTTCTGCTCTGCTGTCGGGGTTCGCGATGGTAAGTCCTCGGTTCCTCTTCCACACTGCTCACCGCCCTGGGCGCAAACTTTAGGCCATCGGCATGAACCGCGTATGTGACGCAGATGATTGTTTCCAAAGGGCTGCGGCGATCGCAACACCTCACAGGCCTGATTACAGCCCCCTGTGCGCTGCTGGGTGTGCACCATTAATGGAGCTTTTTATTTCCGCAAGGGCAGTGCAGCGACCCCGAGGACGTGGACATAAAAAATAAATAAAAGGGTCACAGGGATTTTGCACGAGATGTTTCTCACGGTGCAACAATAACGGGTCAAGGGAATAAAGCAGTTTATGCAAACCTCACACACCCTTTAATTTATCTTCCGCCTTAACAAGTAGACCGCACAATAAGTAGACGTGCCAATTCTCTTATGTTTTTTAATACAAATGCAACGTACAAATGAACACCAGCTTCCTGAGTTAATAGATACCGGTTTTGTTTCTGAAAATGCAAAGCACTGCCGGTAATTATGATGCTATTAAGATAAGTTTTATTGACACTGAGGGAAACTGTTGAGCAGCAGTTGCAGTACAAAGAAGAAAAGAGTGCACTTATAAAGAGTGCAAGTATTAAATATCAATAAAGGTGCAAGAAAAAAAAAATAAACAGAAAAACTAAATCTATTAAATGACAACAGCAGCACAAGCTCAGCTATTTAAACATTTAAGAGTTTAAACAACGACTATATACTGTGCATATATTGCATATGCTAATAATTCTGGTTAATCACATTTGGATTTGTAACTTTTTTTTAAGTCTCACAATCTTTAGGATTCACTTGATGTACAAATGTGTATGTAAGCAATGCTGCTCTAGTATTGTATTTAACCTGCTCTTAATACAACTCAAACCTTTTATAACAACGCCTCAAGTTAAACTTTTGTGCACGAGCTGTTAGATTTAGAAGGAGAGAGCACATCTGAGATTTTTTACCATTACACAAAGAATAATGTTAAGGTTTAAAAGAGTTTCGGGTAGGTATTTTTGCCTACTCGTGTGTCAGCTTTAATTTCAGAACTTCCTAATTGTTTGACAGACACAAAGAACCACCGAAAAGTTTCCAGAATATAACACGACTGCTCTGAACGTGCTTATTAAGCAAAGGTAGCAAAAGTCCACCCATTCTTGTGAACTGATTCAGCTTTCTCACTCAAGTATGAGTGAAAAAGTTCAGGCTCTAAAATGCACTCAAAGTATAAAAGTAAAAAGCACTTTCTTGGTTTCTCTGAAGGACACTTCTACCAGCTGTTTCTGTGCAAAGCTCACTGGAACTTCAACTTTATTTATGTCACTTTGTTACGTCTGTCCTGCAGCATATGCACCGGTCTTGATGTTTGGAAGCCATAATTCCCCTCAGATTCATTAAAACTAAAGGAACAGACCTAGTTTTTAAAATATAAGGAGCAGAAAGTGCAGATATTTGTGTAAAAATGTAGGGAGTACAAGTAAAAAGATGTTAGGAAACAGGTACAGATACACTATTTGAATCTTATTACTTCCCACCTCTGACATTAGGATTAATACAGACACTTTCCTCTACCTATTCAGTATATGTTGCAAATATTGACATTTTTCTTGTATGATTTTCCCAGGTTGCCATGGTGGAGGTTCAGCTGGAGCGGGATCATAAGTATCCTCCAGGGCTGCTGATAGCCTTCAGTGCCTGTACCACAGTCCTGGTCGCCGTCCACCTCTTCGCCCTCATGATCAGCACCTGCATCCTCCCTAACCTCGAGGCCGTCAGCAATGTTCACAACCTCAACTCTGTCAACGAGTCTCCCCACGAGCGCATGCACCGCCACATAGAACTGGCCTGGGCTTTCTCCACAGTCATCGGCACCCTCCTCTTCCTCACGGAGGTGATGCTCCTGTGCTGGGTGAAGTTCTTGCCCCTCAGAAGCAAGGACAGCAACAGCACCATAAGTTCTGGTGAGGCCGCAGCCATCGCTTCCACCTGCATCATGGTGCCGTTTGGACTCGTTTTTATCATGTTCGCCATCCACTTTTACCGCACACTCGTCAGTCACAAAACGGACCGGCAGATCCGGGAGCTGGAGCAGGTCATTCGGCTCCAGAACCAGCTGGACAACAGGCCTGAGAATGACGACCTGAAGGCCCCTGTCCATTACCCTTGATTATTGCTAGTTAACAGCAGCGGACACTCACCAGTGCTTTTATTGTGAAATCTCATATAAAAGCTTTATTTTTTATCCTTTAGAACTTTGAAACTGAAAGCTTCATCTGTTGAGCATTGCAGGTTTTGACTCAGTCCACTTTCGGATAATGCATGTTCACAAACCTCTACACATTATATATTAGGAAAATTGTTTTTACCTTTTAACTTGAAGGGAAATCTTTTGCTCTCAGGCACTAACATTTAACTGGCTTGTTTAATGACATGTCATATTGTAACATTACGTCTTTTAGGGCTAAAACCACTTAAGGACTTCATATCTGCACTTGAGTGTACAGTCATAGAAATCATAGGGATACCCACTTTTTATTATTTTAGATAAAATAGCCCGCTATTACAACACAGATACTGTACAGTACTGACAAATATGTTGCTTTTTAGTCGTTGATATCCAAAGAAAACAAGATTTTGTATCACCAACACTAGAGAAATCTGGGTTAAATTGACCTGAGGAAGATCCACATCAAATCAAGACGACTGAGGCTGCCTTCGAGCCTGTTTTATAGTTCTGGTTGACAAATTGTGGTGCTGCTCTGTGGTGTGTAGTTTACACTCACTCACTGTGTTGCTGATAGAGGTATACAGTAAAAGTCACCACCGCTGCAGGCAGCATCCACCTATTGCCTCAATACTGTCCCATGGTGGGTTGTACTGATTTCCCCTGTTGTCACGTTTGCCTGGCTTTTTAAATGGGGTTTAAAAGGGAGCGTTGCCAAGTAGAATTGTTTCGATACTACTTAAAATGCGGTAGGGGGTATCGGGCGAGTACGTGTGTCTGCGCACCAATCCAATACCATGTAATTTATGTTTTTCTTATCGCACATGTATCAGATCGACACTCTGTATCAGCTGATACGTAAAGTTCTCTTCATTAAGGAAACAATGGTATCAGAACGACTTTATTATCAATACATGTGTCCATATCCAGGGTGTAAAGTGAGATTCACTGTCTGCATGCTTTAAAACCAAAATTATGGAACAAGGTACATTTATTTAGCTGATGCTTTTATCCCAAAGAGACTTAAAATCGGTGCATTCAATATGCTAACTGCCATATTTAGAAACAGTAAGATAGAGAAAGAGGTTTTTACGAGGCCTTCGTGCTTTCATTTGTATGTTACACACGTCCACGGTCACTGTACTGAGTGGTTGCTTATAGGAACTTTTTTATTTTGTTTTAGGTTGTGTCAAATGTTCTCTCCTTTCCTCTCCACGTACTCAGAGTTTTTTTAGTCTTCCGAACAATCCTTCTTGTGCCAAAAATCTGTACTCAAAGGAAACTGTTTAGGTCTTTTAACAAAAAACAGATATATTAATGTTAACAGTATTTCTGTGAACTCTGAGGCTGAAGAACACGTTTGTACTGCATTGCACATATTTAAAAAAAATTTGCCCAGTGGTGGAATCTGTTTCCAAGAACTCATTTTTCTTCTTTTAGAGGAGTCTTATCTAAGTGAGTCTCGGGTAAAACAATTGAGAAACTTACTTTTGCTTTTGCAATTGGAATATACTGTAATCTGTGAAAATGGTTACTGGCTTTGGAGAAGTATTGTTTAATGTATTATTGCAAGGCATGCACGTATTGAAAATGTTGTGTTTATGTAATGTTTTGTACTCTTTATAGTTTACAAGCTTGAGCATGGCCACACGTTGTTAAAGTGTGTTTTCTTTTTGTCCTGTGGCACATTGTTGAACTGTTTAACTTGGGTCTGACCATTTTCTTTTTCTCTGTTGTCTTTCTTTGTAACATTGGTACAAGTATATTATTAGCACATAATATTCTCCTCTAAATATGTTGGAATAGTAAAGTTTTAACGTAAACATGAGATTTTAAACTTTGTAAAAACTTCAACTAATCGCTCAGACTTTTATTTGATTCAATCACTGAACTCAAATGTTTATCCAAAGAATTTCTATAAAATTCAGACCAGGCATCTAATTGAGACCTGCGTTAATTGTAGCCACAGCAGGTTACTAACAGGGACCTGAGTCTAATTGGGACCCTTGCTTTTAATTGAAGTTTTACTGTATTTGAGAATAATATATCCTTGTTTTTATTTATGCCTTTGGTCAACCAGTACAGCCATTTTCTTCTTTGAGAAGAATACACGTTTGTATTTTTATCATGTGACTTTGGATTCTTGCTGTATTATATCAAAGTAATGCTGTGGTTATTATTGCAATGTCGGTTTAGTCCCTATTACCCACCCTTACACATGATTTATGCTGAGTCATGGTAATGTAATAGCTGCTGTAGACCACAAGCTCCTTAAATTTGCATTCAGATTGTCCCGAGATATCTCTGTGACACGTGACGTAGCAGAGAACAAGGAGCCACACAGGGTTAATAACTTACAGGCTGTTGGTCTTTATTCTCCAAACCACTTGTTGATGGTGTTTCTCACAAGGAATTCAATGTTTTCTCTGGAACGCCTCTGATAGGAACTGCCACATGTGCCTTCTTTAAAAAAACAGATCAATGCAAACAAAGGCCTTTTTCTTCGGTTCATTTTGTGGTTTATTTATTGAACCTTGTGTATGTTATTGTATATAGAAAGGTTCCACTGCTTGTGCACAGCTTTAAAATGAATTTTCAGTAAATACTGTATTGTAAGATTTGCTCATGTGTGGTGTTTTTGTGCAGCTTTTTACTGTTAATCATATCCAGGACTTTTTCTTGTTGTTGTTGTTTGAGAATAAAACACATCTGAGATGATCTGTGAGCTTCACATACATTTTTTAATATATATTTATGATTTGCATGTATAAAAAATGCCAAGGAAAACAAACAAGGAAACATCATCTTGCACAAAATGTGTTCTAAAGTAAGTCAAAGGGAAAACCACACAGGAAATGTGTCCGGACGTGCAGTTTGAGTGTAACCTTCAGTCCCTGGAGGCAGTCGGAGCCATGAGCGTGCATCATCACAACAAAGCACACAAACTCCTACGCTTTCTGACTTTCTCCAGCTCTCTCGTCGCCATTAGCGCTCGCTTCGTTGCCTCTCTGAATAAGTCGTCCACATTTTCCCTGTATTTGGCTGAGCACTCTAAGTACAGCACAGCATTGAGTTTCCTTCTGGCCTCTTCTCCCTGTCAGAAAAGAGTTGGAGTCGCACAAATGAGCCAACAATGTCTGACTTTTCTTGTTCTCGTATCCAGTTATTACACACTAATAGTCAATATTGCTCCTCAAAAGTCATACTAACTGTATAGGTGATTAGCTTGATACCTGAATATATGTGACGGCATTCTGGCCCGTTGACCAGAGCTTCTTCATCAGGACTTTGTCTTCTCGTAGGTCTGCTTTGCAACCAACAAGGATGATGGGCACCCCAGCACAGAAATGTTGCACCTCAGGGTACCACTAAATTATAGTGAACACAGTTATATTGTGCTATTTTCTGCTCATATATGACTCAGATCTGTTTTTTTCATGACAGTGTGAACAGCACAAACCTCACTGAATCCAACCTTTTATGTGATCAGATACAGGTCTAATTTTTTGCAGTGTAACCTCAGTGTGATCTGGATTTACGTTCGTCATGTGGGTCATCTCAGGAAACGTCATCTGTTCACACTACAATCTGATATCGACCACATTAAAAAAAATAATGTGATCTGAGTGATAAATCATAATTGAGCACTAAGGCTTAAGTGACACCAACTGTAATATCCTCTTCAACCACAACAACAAAACACTGAACATGCAACTTAGAAATACCTTTGTGAAGACGTTATCAAAGCTTGAAGAACACATAACATCGTAGCAGATCAGCACCACGTTAACACTGTGGTAGGAGAGAGGCCGCAGGCGATCATAGTCATCTTGACCTGAAATTAACAACATTGAAACCTGCATTTGAAGGTGAAATTCAGATCTTAAATCAAAAACAAACAAACAAACAAACAAACAAAATAGATTACAAATAAATTGAATAAACATAAATGAATAAATAAAAACCCTCTTAGGTAATTTTAATCAACACAATTAAAGTGTTTAGGTTATGACCTAATACAAAAGGGCATGTGATTGTGTTTCTCAGATGCTGATAAGGAATGACACACCTTCCACAGACTCGGGATACCTGTTCAACAAGGTGATTTAAAAAGTATGAGAAAGAGACCTTACCGGAAGTGTCATAGAGATGTAGCCGAAACTGTTGCCCTCGATACCTCGAATTGACAACAGTTTTGTCAAACACAGATGGGACATATTCCTGAAAGAAAATGATTATACGTTTTGTCTCTGAATACTTGACAGCTTATTTGAATTACAAACATTTTATTCTGCTTAGTTTTTACATTAAAATGAATTTCAGGCTGCATTCATTTCTACTTCTGGGATGAAAATATCCTGCAGTTTCAGTGACCTGTGCCTGTGTGTGTGTTACTCACCGTTGGAAAGACTCCTTTAGTATAAATTGTGAGCAGCGAGGTTTTCCCACAACCCCCGTCTCCTACAATAACAACCTTGAATTCCTCTTGCAGGCTGGTGTTTCCTCTGTTTGCTCTTGATCCTGTCTGGCTCATGTTTTGTGGAAAGACAGATGAGGAGGGACTGCTGGTCCTGGCGGTGTGTATACTGCAGAGATAAGCCAGAGATAAACAGAAACCCAGACTGCAGTGGTAGCTAGTAGCTAAACTGACTTAGAGGTCCTGTGTGCAACCATAGAGGTGGTGTTATGAACAGATGAAATACTTTCTGGGAAACTCACACCTTACATTCCCTTAATGAACTGCTCCTCCTTCTGTCTAAGTATTTCAACTATTTGAACAGCCTCATCTGGCTACCATATGAAACAATCTATATTTTATTATTTTCTATATCTATATAAACATCTACATTATGTCATGTTCTTATAATGCAACAACTGAAGCATGAAAAAATATTTTATTTGAGTACAAATTTCTTGTTAGGGTAAGGTATATTAAGTTAATCATAGTAAAAACTACTGGGTATATTAGACTTATTTAAAGTGTGACTTTGTGTGATGAATTGATTATAAAAATGGTAGCCAATTCATTTTGCGGCTTTGGAAAGTAAATAACCCTAACCCTATATAAACATATATATATTACATACTCAAATTCTTATATGTTGCTCATATTATATCTTTAATCTTTTCTTCTTTCTTTTTATTCATTGTTAATTATATGAATTATACTGTATCTACTATGTCCCGTTGATCTAGATGAACTAACTTTGATTTAATTGTTATCTGTATACACACACACACACACATATATATATATATATATATATTTCTACTGATCTATAT